ATTTGCAGTTTATTGCATCTGCATCTACTCTCTTTCCTGCAGAATATGTTCAGGAATTCCAGAATTGCTTTGATCGTGCCCCGGCTGTTCCGTTTAACTCCATTGAATCTATATTGCGGGAAGAATTGGGAAGGCCATTGGATAGTATATATGAATATATCGATCCAGTGCCTATAGCCTCTGCTTCGATAGCTCAGGTATGTACATTGTATGCTATGTTGCAACAATTATAATTTGGGGCATTTACATACATACCATTCAATTCTTAAATATTACTTTTCTAACACCTAGAATTTTAACATCACATCAAAAATACTATTATTACTAACTTTTTGAAAGTGAAATACACCTTTCATGCCTAGGAATTATAACAGCCAAGTGTTGTAAATGCAAATATCAAACTTTAGGCGTTAGATATGTATATATATAAGCATTGTGTGGTATGTCTGTAAAATTCCCTTATAGCTTATGGAGATGAGATTGTCAACTTATGCTGCATTAGTGTCAAGGTTCATGGCGCGAGGCTTAGAAATTCACAAGAAGAGGTGGTGATAAAGGTTTTAAAGCCAGGTATAGAGGATATATTGGTTGCTGATCTGAACTTTGTGTACATTGCTGCACGTATTTTTGAATTCCTAAATCCTGAGCTTCGGCGTACATCACTGGTATGCAATTTAGTAGTTTGGCATTTGGCATTTTTTTACTTGCTTATTATCTTGGCATGGAATTTAATAAATAATCATGTATTTAAAATACCATATTGACACCATTCTAGGGCTCTTAAAGGGCGTTTGGGAAGCGGATTCAATGAGGAGGTTGTGGAATAGCAAGGTGCTAAGAATACAGGCAGGCGATGGCGCTTGGAAGGGTGTAAGGAGTGAAATCTGCTGTTGGACAGCTGATTCGAGCGGCTTGCCTATGGTTTGGACTGAAAACAACGGTCGAATGGAGCAGCGACGAGGTACAGGCAGTGAGGAGGTTCCACCACTTGTTCTTGAGCAAGATGCATATTTAACACTCGCAAAAGAAAGATGTTACAACACTCTTTAGGTTAGAAATCAAAGAATCAAATTTCCAAAATACTTAAAACAAAAGCTAAAGTCTCAAACATCCACATACAAAATATAAGAAAGTTTCCTAATATAAAATATCATATTTAGAAAGTAAGAAATAGGAAAAATCCTAAAGGAAGAAAAAAAAAAGTAACTTGTTGAAAATAAAAAAATCCTAGTGATGTGTCTTCCGGTAATCAATCTCCTCTAGCATTGCAATTCCGGGAAGAAGAATTGGAACTTCGACAAGCAGTAAAAATAACCAGCATCAATCTCCTCTAGCACTGCAGTTCCCTCTTATTTATAGTCTTCTTCCTTTAGTTACACGATCTCCATACTCTTCTGCAAGATCAACCACGCTCCGGAGTCCCGAACTTCTCCAATTGCAAGTTGCATTTTCTGGCGCATACATGCCAAACTCTCTATCTGTGGGCTTGTTAACGAGTGCCTAAGCCCCTAGTGGTTGGCGCCTAGGCGCCATAGTCGCGGCGCCTAAGCGCCCACTGGCTGGCGCCTAAGCGCCAAGCTCTCGTGTTCTAACGCCTAGGCGCCAAAGTCTGGGCGCCCAGTGGCAATATTGTGCACCTTAGCTCCATGTCCCTTTCTGCTTTCAACACTTCAATTCCATACTGTTATCTGCAAAATAAATACCAAATACCTTTCTCAACAGTGTGATTTCATCGATAAAGTATATAAATACAATCCAATTTACTTGCCAACTTATCCACATATCAAAATCCTCCAAGCTTTAAGGTTACTTGTCCACAAATAACATCAAAACTTAAATATTGGTTATGTTAACTAAGTAGGAGTGGGTTTCGTAAAGAACTACTTACAATCATTGTTCAGAAAAAAATATAGTTAAGAAAACTCTGTTTCTCTAGTGAAATTTTCTATCCCATATGCTATAAGAAGCTTTGAATTCATCAAATACAACATGACCTCATATTTATTTCAAAAAGGAATTAATAAATGCTAAACTAATGTAAATTAGATGTCAAATATAAAGAATATAGTCCTCCAGTAAATGATCCACTAATAATTCATAAACATATATGCTTAAAGAATGTTTTGGAGTTTTTAATTTAAATGGTATGTTAGTAAAACCAATATTGATAAGGCTTCTCCTCATGTTTCTCAATATTTTTCATTCATAAATGCTTTCTTACTTTAGGATAAATATTTCAATCATAAGCATAATTTTTTTGAGGATTACTATATCGGGATGAATCTTTAATGATTTTGAATTCTACTACCATTTCTCCAAATTAAAAATACTCCACATTTCTTTTCTATTTAATGCTTTAAAAGATTAGGAATTATTATAATAAAATTAAAATTACATGGAGGCTATATTCTTATTAAACACACAACTAAGTTCACCTAACTTAGCAAGTAACTAACTCTTCTTAAAATCAAATATGCTAATCAATTATTCATTTGTTGAATTTCAAAGTTTAAGTAGCATTTCTTTAATTTAATTCACATAGAGTTGAAATTATGTTTAACCATGTTTTCTCTTTTTTTAAAATTGTGATAGTTCTAAATTCATCTCCACTTTCCTAATTTTGTTTACTAAGGACAAATAATCTAAACACAACATAATTCTCCCCCAAACTTAACTACAAACAATTACAACACGCTTAAACATGATATACTACATAAAAAACTTTACAACAGTAATATTATCTATCACTTGTTCAAACCAACAATTTATCAGCATGAATGCAATAGAAAGTTCAACTATACTAATCAAATTGCGCATAAAAGTTCAAATAATTTATACCAGGGAATTTAAAGAATACATAAATAAAAATCCAATCCACAAAAATGAAATACAAAGTGAAATTGCAAATAAAATTTCCAAAGCATCCTAAGTAATGTAATCACTTATCCTCCTCTTCATCATCATCTCCCTCGTCATCATCCTCTTCCTCATCTTCCTCTTCCTCTTGCTCCTCTGAATACTCCTCTATGGGCTGGCAGGTAGTCTTGTAAGGCACATATGGAGATTATACGAGAAACTCAGTAGGATGCTGACCTCCAATCCATTAGTTCCTTCGGTACATCTCCAACTAAGCAGCCTGATAACTGTCAATCTGATCAAATTGGCTCTAATTCTGCCAATTCATACATGACACTTGGTCTGCTAAATCATATACCACCGTCTGTATGATAGAGGTGTCATCCTTAATCCTCTCCAATCTCTCTGCAATAGAGGCCATGGAAGTGGATGGTTGGGGACTAGATGTAGAAGTAGATCGGGAAGAGCTCGCACTGTGCCCAAATATTGTGTGCTTCCTATATATCCCAATATTGGATTTGGAGATTGGCTTCAAAGGATGAAGCTGCTCCACCCAACTCCCAAAGGACATGCCAGAGTTTTAACACAAAGAAAATACAGTAGAAGGGTGACCAAGATTGATAGTGGATCCCCCTTTTGTTGTATGGAGAATAGAATGATGTATAAGGGATCATATATCTATGATTTTGAGGGTGTGGTTGTAGTAATTCAAGACAACTCTATCCTTGGTGACTTCACTTAGATTGGTGGAGGGGAGCAGCTTAGCATAAATAAAGTAGTGACAGGCTTTTGATACTGTATTTAAAGTGGAGGAAGGGAAATTGATCTTTTCGTCGTTCCTCACTTTTCATACCCCCTACCATGGGTCAGATTTTAATGATTCGATCAATGTCAGAGTCAACAAGAGAGAATTTAGAATAGAAGCAATTAAGGATATTTCTCAAAGAATATAATGAATTGATTCAAGAAGGAGAAAAATCTACCTGCTTCTCTCTAATGAATACTGATCCATTAGAAGCTTTAGGTAGATCGACATAGAATCCTGAACAATAGGAATTACAACAACACTAGTGTTAAAGCATGGGTTCTCCCAATCCCTCCTTCCAATTATACTTTCTACCTCTCCTCCAGGTGATAGAAATCCTCGCTCAGGAATGAACCTCTTCGATACTAAGAATTCGTTATAACGCTCTTTAGCTTATTATGGTGGAATTTCTTATTATCAAAGGAGGATTTATATTTACCATCCTTGGTTTTAGGAGCCATTAGGATTGATAGAGAAAAGATTGAAATAAGAACATAGATTTATGCAAGGATTGGAACAACAAAATGCAAGTTAGGAAATTTAATCAAAGCTAAATCAAGATCTCCAAAAACTTCAGACCTCAACTCACTCCGATTGCAAAGAGTTCCAAAAATCTTGAATGAAAATGGTGGAATTCGATGAAGAGAGTAAGATTTATCTTAGAGAAGCTAAATTCCCCCTACGGTTTCCTTGGATCGCACAAATTTGGAGATATTTGATTTTACCCAAAAAAGCTCAGTCAGGTGAAGAAGACGAACCAGAGGAAGATTTGAGCAAAATGGGCAACAAGCGGCCTAATTTTCTGATATAGCGCACTGGTCGCCGAAGCGCTCGAATACTGGCACCTATGCGCCACTATGCTATTGCGGCTTAAGTGAGGCGGCGTGTAGGTTCCGTGATAACAGCGCATAAGCGCTACTCTCCAGAGAAGGCGACACTTTGGCGCCCGAATAGTAGCGCATAAGTGCCTGTGTAAGTAAGCGACGCCTAAGCGCTGAAGGTAGTGGCGCTTATGTGCCCACCTCAACTTAGGCTCAATTTACTTGAATATCATAAATCATCTCAAATTCACCTGATCATCCAAAAAACATAACTGTTTAATCACAACAAATCTCAAGAACACACTTACACGGATATAAACACCTAAAACATCAGCATCACAAATGAACTTGCATTGCCTCTCAAGAAACGCTTAGTTTTATGTCCTCAGCCTAACAATGCCAGATATTTTAATGATGCTGACCCAATATTAGTACTTAAGCCCAACTTCAGCCAATCCATTTGTTTGGGGTGATATGCTGTGGATATCTTACGAATAATTCCGTACTTCTCAACCAATTTCTTAATCTTTTTATTTCTAAAGTGGCTCTCCCATCACTAATTATAACCCTAGGCATATCATATCTTCAAAATATATTTTGTTTTAAAAATTTAGATACACTCCGAGCTTCACAGATAGACAGAGTCACCGCTTCTATCCATTTGGAGACATTATCCACAACTATCAAAATATATAAATTCCCTAACGAAGGTATAAAGGGTCCCATGAAATCTAAACCCCAAACATCAAAAAGATCAATTTTCAAAGTAAAATTCAAGGGCATTTCATCTCTCTTCGAAATATTGCTTACTATTTGACATCTGTCACGAGTTTTTGTATGATCGTTAACATCCCTAAATATAATAGACTAATAAAATTCATATTGTAAAATTATAGCAACCGTTTTATAAACTCCAAAATGCCCCCCAAATTCAGAATCATGATATTTTCTAATAATATCTTGAGTCTCTTTTAAGGGTAGACATCTTCTAATCACTTGGTCTTTATACTTTCTATAAAGATATGGGTCATCACAAAAATAATATCTAACATCACAAACAAATTTCTTTCTCTGATGGTATGATGGATCATAGGGTAAAGTATTACTCACTATTTAGTTTACTATGTCAATATACCACAAAATATTTTAATAAAAAACATGGAGTTTCTCATTAGAAAAACTT